TTGTATTACTCTCCATTTCCTTTAATTGCGTTTATAAAAGAAGACATTTTAGATAATATTTTGTGGGTATATTATCAAAAATTCAAGTACAATTACTTAAGTTCTTGTCGTCTTAAAGGATTCAAAGAAATTACTCCCAGCTGAAGAATTGTTAAACTGATAAGAAAACATAACCTACCCAATAACATGTTGTAGGAAAAAGATCCAATAAGTTTATATTTTTGATATTTCCAAATTTTTATCAGACAGCTCCAAGTCCACCGTGTCACCATGCACAAGAACCTCTTTGTGTCTCTCTTGTTGAATGGCGTGTTTGTTATCATCTTCAGAACTATGGTAATGACTGAAGAATCTGACGAAAGAGGTGATGGGCAAAACTTCTTTCAACAAAATGGGGTATGTTTCACACCCAAAGCAAGTCTTAAGTGTCAGGTGGTTGATAAATAATTTTATTTGAAACAATAAAAAGTAATATTTTTAAAAACCTTTTCATCTGGGCTCAAGTGTTTACTTGCGATGGACTTACATCATAAAACTAAATTAAGCATTAATATAGTAGAAAATTATAACAATGTAAACAGGCAATCAAAATTCGCCAAAAACTACGAATATGATTTTTTAAATCCTAAAATGTAAATAATAAATGTTTACAATCATAAATAAAATAAGATAGTTAAAGTATAACACTTATACAATACTTGGATCAAAAAAGAAAATATTAATACTGACGTTGTCCTTGATCATGCTTTTCCAATAAGCGGAATAACAGTTAACGTATTTCGAAACTATAATATTATTATAAATAATACAGTAAATGAGATAAAAAAATGGCTTACAAATTCAGCAATAGTTGGTATTAAGGTGATTTAAAAATAAATGAAGTAAACCGTATTTCACATTAATATAATTCGTTGGTAATTTTTGTAAAATTCAATGTTTCTAACATAATTGGTCTTTAAGTTTAGTTAAGCGTGCTTAATTGATTTATGCGATTTTGCTTTACATAAACTTAATGTATAAATTTAGGTAATATTTAATTTTCGGTAATTAAATTATTTTTGACGATTTACATTTATACAATTATAAACAGTTTATAAAAACGGGCACTGAAGACTATATCATTTTTTATGTCTTTGTATTACAAAAGTATTCTTAACCCAACTGAAAAAAGAATGACTCAAATTTTATTTGAATGTTTGTTTGTAGTTATATACAAAGCTGCACAAGGGCTATCTATACTCTGCCCACAACGGGGATCGAAACCCGATTTCTAGCGTTGTAAGTTCGCAGATATACCGCTGTGCCACTGGGGGGGGGGCTAATTTTGATGAAAGATAGAATTACTAACTCTTGAATGAACAGTGGTTTTTGTTTTCCATATTCTAGCCTGGTTGTAAAGTCCTGTTTGTCACGACAAAATACTTTCGTATGACCTCCTACATGTGGATGTTCTGTGAGGGTTTCTATCTACACAAGCTTATTGTGGCTGCATTTGCTGAGCAGAAAAGCTTGGTTTCCTTCTACGTTATTGGTTGGGGTGAGTATCAAAATATGATGAAAGATTGTGAATTTCACCTTAGCGGTTAGTATGAGTATTAAATTATATGAGAAAGTTTATCCGTTTCATCGCTGTTGACTTGGGCGAAGATCACAGTTGTAAAAGCGTGTATGTTTCTTTTTTTTTCAGAAATGAGTATACACTGTCACAAATGGGATTTACATTATATGCTAATAACTTGGATGAGTATCATAGTTATGCTCATTATTAACCAATACTGCAAGTTGTCCAAAGTAAGAAAAAATGGTGTATATTTTACGCTAACAAGCAGTATTAGTATTAGTGAAAACGAGACTTAATCAAATAATCAACACATTTAGAAAAAATAAGTATTGAATAATGTTAGATAAGAGGTAGGATGATTATTAAAATAGGGGAGGGGTGATTAAAGATTTTATTCTCTTATTAAGTATGAGAAAAACAAAATAAAGAAAGAACAGACGTTTTAAGGTATTGGCAATGGTGAGATAGAAACCAAATACATTAATAGTATTAAATGTTGGACATAGTGACTAGAAAAGAAAATAAAAATGCAGAATGTAATATGAGAATCAAAGTTAGAAGAGTATGTACAAAATCTTTACTCAGAAGGTTAAAATGTAATATGTTTTAACCTTCTGAGTAAAGATTTTGTACATACTCTTCTAACTTTGATTCTCCATTGATTTTTTTCCTACCTTTAGAAATTCTCGCATCACTCCAGTCTTCACTTCCTGACGACTGACACTAAAAAGGCCTGATTAAGTTCTAGTACAAACAACTCCATCAATGCAGAACTTTTGTAACTATGGGCACTGTCAAACCTTACATCTGCAACAACTAGTACTAGTGTCTCCTACGTGTTAAAGTTTTCATTTTTCATAAAAGAGTTTTATGAAACGTGTTTTGCCAAAGCAAAGTTAAAAGAAAATACATGAGTTCTTGGACAAACAGCTCGTGTTGTATCTAATGTTCATTTTGACACACACGAGGTGATCTTTATCGCCACAAAATTAGAATATATGCATTATACAGTATTTCATTTGGTCATCATGCCTTTTGTATTGTACAGTATTTCATTTGTTCATCATGCCTTCTGTATTGTACACTATTTCATTTGTTCATCATGCCTTCTGTATTGTACAGTATTTCATTTGTTCTTCATGCCTTCTGTATTGTACAGTATTTCATTTGTTCTTCGTGCCTTCTGTCTCGTTTATTTTAATTTGATTTACTGCTTTGTAAAACATACATCTATAAGGGTTTGTTTTATTTCGTATTGACTCAAGAATTCGTTTTAACGGATAGTTGACACATCTTTAAATGAATGTTTGACAACATCAGTAGGAATTTCTATAGTTAAAATTCAAGAATAAATATGCAGATTTTACAAATTAAGGCATTTGATTAAAAAGACCGGCAAACATAATTACCTTTTGCACGAAGGTGACATTTCACAAATAGCATCAGTGCTTAAGCTCTGAGTGTAAGCTTACTCACCTTCAGCTCATGGTATCTTACCTTATTGACATTGCTTCAACTGTGGTTTAATTTTCTGCTTTACTAATTTTTTATTTATTACATTATTATTTCTGCTCTGCGTTATAGGACAATGGTATTTTTTAAAGAAATCTGCATAAAGATTAAACTACATAATATCTAACCATGACTGACGTCAAAGTCATTCGTAAATCACATTGTTTCTGAAATCCACACATACGTACATACTAGCTATATAAGTTTACGATGAAACAAAATTAATAAAATGTTATTTGTTGTTACTATGATGACCAGAGTCGTCCATCGTGAATGACCAGTACAGCTGTCTTTATTACCAACGAAACATTCAATATGAAGAACGTAAAAAAGGTCATCATGTGTGATTAGTTACAGTTGTTTTTATTGCAGGCAACATCTCTTATCTATAATGTATATCAGTATGGTTGTTGTAAGGGATTAAATTTGAGGTAACATATTCTAACTATAATGTACATCGGGAAGATAGTCAAGAGTGATTAGTTACAGCTATCCTAACAATAGACAACATATTCTGATTTAATGCACATCAATTTATAATTTATTGTGAGTGATCAGTTACGGCTGTTTTTAATATACGGAATACATAACGCCTACAACATAATCGCGCCCTGTGGGTAAGCGGTAAGTTTACAGATTTACAACGCTAAAATCCTGGTTTTGTTTTTCTTCTCTGGACAGAGCACAGATAGTCCATTGTGTAGGTTTGCGGTAACAAACTAACAACAACAACTATGTAATAATCTCTATTAATCACCATACCTTAAAACTCATAAAATGGTTATTGTTTTCTGTTTCCCGCTAATAGTAATTATTGAAAACTAGAGCAAGTTATTTTCGAAAATAAAAATGACTAAAGGAAAACTTTAGTAATGACTAATAACTGCATTATTTTTTTCTCTATTCTACATTTTACCAGTGAATTACACTGTTTTGTTTTTTCTATAAAAGCATAAGAAACTTTTATATCCGATCTACTTTATGTCAATTTCTTGCAACATCGTCTTTGTTTCAACATATTTAGTCGGTTTGTAGTGATATGCCGTTCTTTCTGTATACAAGTGGCTTCTTTAATCTAGCTTGTAACAATGTTATATTCGTTTCTACTTAAATCAGTGTTAACAATGTTATCTTCATCTCCACAATACGTTATATCACCCTGTAGTGACGTATCAGTGTTCCAGGTGATTAATTTTAACCATTCCACAATGATGTTATGTTCCAATTTCTTTCAGAACCTATTTCCATTGTAACAAGGTCTTTACTGCCTGACGAAAGGCTTCTACTTGAAACGTCGCACAAAATAAATTAGAAAAAGTTTTAATTTAGACGTGTCAGTTTATTCTTTATTATCATTTATCCAAGTTATGTTCCATTACACGCTTTAGTTAAGTCTGTAGCAGTATCATCTTATATACAATATGAATAACGGTTAAACCCCACTTGTTTTTATATGATACAGGGTTTCCCATAATACCAGTAGGCATATATGCTATCCTTCGAAAGACTCTGAAAGACGAAAGGTAAGTTCTAAGATCTGAGTATTTATATTTACAGAATAGACCGTCTTTAAAATTATGTATCATAGCTTTGTTTATATAACACAACAGTGATACATTAGCTAGCACGAACTATTGGAACAAGTAGCAACACGAATATAAAAAGAACGTTAAGTTCTCCCCAATGTTTCCTTCTTTAACTTACTTTTACATTACATATTTAAGACTTACCCCCTTATGTAACTTAGTTTTTTTTTCTATTATCACATCATTATATGGCTGACCCATCTATTATAATTCTGTTGTTTTGTACGTGTACATTGTTTTGATCATATATCACAACTTTGTGTTTAATTAAAATTTTACATACACACAAATATATATATATATATACACCACCTATTTACTTTTTTTTTCTATTGATGCGTATCATATGTTGCATAGTTTTAAAATGCCTAACTATAAGATGATGACATGGATACTTCATCTTTGCTTACCAGACTCTGTCCTTAGCTTTTCCATCCACATTAAAACACTAAACTTTAATGCAGATCGCATTTATGCACCTAGTAGCTGTGGAGGTACGAACCATTAAGAAGCGTGAAATATATATATATAATTATTATACCTGCTACAGATGAAAAACCGCCTGCGTTTCCCAGTTCAATTAAATATCTAACTGTCAGATATTTTCTTTGTAACATTATGTTTTGCTTCACCAACAAGGAGAAGAAGAACTTACAAATATTGTACCTTTTCTTTATGGCCCATTTCTTTAATTTGAAATAAATATGAAGTTCCTGATTTTAATATGATGTAAGAGTTATTTTGAGGAGAAGAAGTCCACAGTATAATTTAAAAGAATTATCAGAGATACAGCTTTTGAGAGGATTTTTTTATTTTTTAATTTATTACAAAGTTTCGACCACTCGTGTGGCCAATGTTAGGTAACTATTGTACGAAATATTGGGCGAACATTTTGTTCTAATTTAAAAAACATATATGGTAACACCTGTGTTTTGATTTAAATTAGGTTTTAGTTCACGAATAATTAATGCTTCTTTTACTTTTCTTCTATTAACGTTGTTCTCATAACATAATATTTCAAATCTTATAACGTTAATTGGATGTTGATTCGTTGTGCTGTGTTCGCAAATGTGTGAAGGGTGATTGTTATGTTAGTTGATTCTAATGCGTATGTTGCGTCCCGTTTCGCTCATATAAGTGTTGTCACATCGATTTTATTGATGTTTGTATATCCTTCCGTCGTGGAAGTTGTCAGAATAAACCTTCCATAGATAGTATTTTATTTTAGTGCTCGGATTTTGAATAAAGCTAACTTTGCTGTTTTGGTTACACAGCTACGTGAGTCTGAGATTTTGCATTTTGTTTCCTTCATTGAGTTTATGTTGTTTTTCCTTTCTTTTTTTTTGTTTTTGTTTTTCAGTTTGTTTTAATATTTGGTTAAGGATCTAGTGAAAACATGATTGGAGAAGTGTGATAATAAATGTGATGTATATTGATTCTAGTTCATGCTACAGATTACTGCTGCTGCATATGTTGAATGCTGTGCTGTAAATACATGATAACATGCCTTTTTTGTTTTTAGTTGAGTGGGCTAAGTCCCACTTTATATAGTTTTTATTTTTACCAGTTTTGTGGTATATTTTCGTGTTAAAACTCTTAGTTTTTCTATTGTTATGTTCATGTAATTTAAACCTGGTTTTCATTCTTTTCTTCAAAAGTGAATTTGATGTTAGAGTGAAAGTTGTTTACGCATTGTGTAAATGACAGTTTGTGGTTGTTTTCTTCAAATTCACAAAATACATTGTTGACGTATCTAAACCATTGTGTGGGAGGGTGGAGAGCTGTTTTAATGGCCTGTCTTTCTATTTTGTTCATAAAGAACTTGCATAATCCAGGTGACAGAAGGTTGCCCGTGCTTAGGCTGTCAATTTTTTCGAGTGGCCAAAATGCTGTAATAAAGTTAACTAAATACAAATAAATATTCCACTCAAAAAGCTGGACTTTTATTACGCAAACGTATATAGATAGGCTAGGAAATAAAAGAATTTAGACATTCTAACACTAGAAGAACTATGTAATCCCTACATTTACCCAAAAGTCTGTCTTTGTGTATACAGTAACTGATGTTCCTCTGGCCTGTCTTCTAATAACTTGACTGAACTCACTACCATTATGAGTCCTATTAGCCAAACTGAGCTGCAATAATTTTCTCTAGGTTTAGAATTATTAAATACTTTTCAAATAAAATGATCAGATATTTTTACTACATATGTTGCTTACTTAGCAAAATCATTTTATAAAATAAATTAGTTTTATTCTAATCTTGATTAAAACTTGAACATACTGCGTAAATCCATTTAAGTATGCTGACTTTCATACTGAAGAAGAGCGGCGATAAAAACAGCAATATTTTAACTTAAACTTGGTGAAACTCCTTTAAAAATGTACTTTTGAACCTTTTTATAGGCTTATTTTGTTTTGTTAAAATAGTTTTAGATTTTTCAGGGACAGTAATAGATTTCTCTAAAAACTCAAGAATGTTTAGCCAGAGATGATATTCCACAGAGACTCCACTGTAGTTATACGTCATTCTCCAAAACTATATTTTGATGTAAAATTAATTAATTCGAAAGAGATAATTGATCATCAAGGATGTTCGAAGATTCAGCAATCTTCTATCACCCCGCGCGAGACTAAAGATTATAAAAATCCTGAAGGTTATTGGGGTCTGTTCGAGCCAGGTGGGCTGATTCTAACTGGGCTGTAGTGTGGTATATATATATATATATATATATATATACATACTAATTAAATAAATAATAAGTAATAACGTCTGTGTCGTAGGTTTTAGTTAGGAGCGTGCGTACTTACCTTACTAGGTAGGTGTCTGTAGTCGTGGG